TGCCCCCCCCCCAAACTGTCTCTCTTTCTCTCTCTCTCTCTCTCTCTTTCTCTCTCTCTGTCTCTCTCTCTCTGTCTCTCTCTCTCCCTCACATTCTCCCTGGTTGTCTGTTGGTCTCTTTCAATGAAAATTAATCTTGCAGCATTCATCAGGTTCCCCTCTCCTCTCTCTCTCTCTCTCTTTGTCTCTCTCTCTCTCTCTCTCTCACTCTCTCTCTCTGTCGCTGTGTAGCCTACGTGTGTTTATGTGCGCGCCTGAGTGTGTGTGTGTGTGTGTGTGTGTGTGTGTGTGTGTGTGTGTGTGTGTGTGTGCGCGTGTGTGTGTGTGTCGCTACGCAGCCTACGTGTGTGTACGTGCGCGCCAGCGCGTGTGTGTGTGTGTGTGTGTGTGATGTACAGGAGGATTTCATTAGTTTCTTGGCTCTTACCAATACATATTATTAATTCCCTCTTTTCTGTAGAAACTGTACTTTGAACCTTGAAACATTTCAGAACTTTGTGTTATAATAACTGACTGACTGAAAACGTTCTGTTCTTAGAGTTCTTCCGTGTAGATCTATAGTTTTATAGTGGTAACTTTTGTACTGGAATCATATTTTCTTTCTTATAATGCTTTGTATATCATTTATTCTCTATTGTGTGGTTGGCCAACTCCTGAAATTATCTAAACTGTCTCGATGGGGTTGTCAACACACGTACAATTTACCGAATTTTTATCTGTTATTTATTTTTGTATTTGTTTTTGTATTTTACAAAAAAAATTTGTCTGGGTGGTCTGGCGTCCTTGTAACCAGCTGAAACGCGACCGTCGCTTGAGCGTGGAGAGACGCTGGGGGTGGAAACACGTCGCTGCTGGTGCTGCTGGTGCTGCCATACTTGGCAAACGAGACGATGAGTAATCCAGGACATATTTCGTACCATGGGTAAATTTTGTCGACAAAGAAATCAGTTGTTATCATCATTATCCTCCTCCTCCATCTCACCATTGTCATCATCATACTAATTATCCTCACCATCATCATCGTCGTCGTTGTCATGATCAACAACAACATCTTCATTATTTAATCTTCAACATAATCACCATTATTATCCGCACGTATGGGGTTCGAGAGAATAAAATTAAGGGTGTAGCCTACTGTATTTAAAGGTCATACATTTCAGTAATACATTCATGAATTGAATCTTATCAACCCTGCATACTCTGAAGACCCCCCCCCCCCCCTTTTTCCTTTTTTCACATCTTTTTCCGAGTTTAAAAACCCTGTCCGTCTCTCCTTTCAAGCCTCTCCCCCTCATTCCTCCTCTTTGTTTCTCTCTCTCTCTCTCTCCCTCTCTCTCTCTCTCTCACACACACACACACACACACACACACACACACACACACAAACACACTCTGTGTGTATGTGTATGTGTGTGAATGTCTGTCTGTCTGCCCCCCCTCCCCCCGTCTCTATTTTTGCATCTCCCCATCCCTCCCCCTTTGCCCTCTCTTTCTCTGTACTATGTATCTGACTCTCTCTCTCTCTCGCTCTCTCTCTCTCTCTCTCTCCCCGTCTCTCCTCCCCCCCCCCCACATTTTTTTGATCACTCTATACACATGTTTATCTCTAAAGGTATATATATAATATGGAGATGTTTTAGGGGGATGTTTCTTTTGAAAATAATTAATACATTTTTCAAACGCTTTTCCCCAGGTTTCTGCAGAGGTAGTTTGACTTTGTCATGTGACTTTGTCATGTGACTTTGTCATGTGACTTTGTCATGTGACTTTCCTAAGGCCTGTAGTCAGATGAAATAGCCAAATAAAGCTTCGTATGGACAAGAACAATTTTGATATTGTTGTTATTGTTGTTGTTGTTGCTGCTGTTGCTGCTGCTGCTGCTATTTATTGTTACTATTATTGTTGTTGCTGTTGTTATTGTGTGTTATTATTACTGTTGTTGGTTGTGCTGCTGCTGATGTTACTGGTGGCGGTAGTGGTGGTGGTAGTACTGCTGCTGCTACTGCTGCTGTTGGTTCCTACTGCTGTTGCATAATTTCCGATTATCTTCCTGTATCATTCTTTGTTAAAATTAACAGAATCGCATAATTTCACATTTTTGGGCTCAGCATAATTTCAATTTACTTTTTTTTTGCATAAAACCGAAGGGACAGTTTATTGAAGCATCTGTGCCACCAGGGTTATCCTCTACTCTCCACAAGGGTGTGGGGCAAGTAAAACAAACAACTATAGGAAGAAACAATTTATGCGGTTCTTACGACTCTTGAGTCAACACATACGCAGGTGTCCTACATCTTGCGCTCTCCCTAGGCTCTAGGAAAATAGAAGGCAAAATGAAGATACCTGAAAGTGTCATCTTTGGCTCATATTTTGACGAGCAATGACCAGCTATTGCTAACAGTTATCAGCTACTGTTATAGGCCTACACTCTGTCATATTAATTTAAGCAAGTCCATGCCTTGGTGTTATCGGCCAACGTTGGGTTTTTTTTCCACCATTGGCCCTTTTCTTTTGCCCCCACATCTTACTTTCGAATATTTCCTTCATAACCGTCTGGCATCGTTTTAAATGTGGCAAAAGAGGAAGATGTAGATCAAAGAGTGCTTAGCGGCTGCTCGGGTGTGGCATGCTTCTTCTTTCCTATCAAACATGTATCGTCTTTATCTCCCATCCTTCGTTTTTGTGTTTGTTACTCTCTTGTAACACTTCTAATCTTCGGCACTTTTATATATTATGACCTTATTGTGTTTCAAGTGCCGTAAGAATGAGGAAGGGTCGGAAGGGGGTGGCTGGAGAAGGGAGGGTCATTTACACAGTGTGGGGAAGTGATGATTAACGAACAGCTGTAGAAGGGGCGTGGGATTGTTTTGAAACGAAACAGCAATAGAAATGAGGATTTCAGATGGTATGGCCGAGTGGGTGGAGGGGGTGGGGGTGGGGTAGGGGGAGAGCGTTTTTAGTCACAGCAAATTGGTTGAGGACCACTCCTTTCGTTTCATAGAATTGTGGACTATTGCTTGCAATTTTTTTTTACCCTGCCCATGTCTATCAACAGGCGGGTTTGTGTTTTGTAGAAACAAGAACAGCAAAAATGTGAAGCATTTTTTATTTTTAAAATAGGTGTTAGAATTTGAGTAAACCTATAAGAGAAATGTTATAATATAATATATAATATTTATATATATATATATATTATGTGT